CCCCGAAAGTTAAAAACATCAAATCTTTTCCGACTTCCGGGGGGGGGGTGTATCCCGTCGTACACAGATGAAGCAAATGGTTAATGGAGGCGGTTGCCCTCCCTGCAATCCACCACTTCATCCGGATAGCTGACTTCTGGAACTCCCGAAGAGTCTCCCCTCCTCTGAGGAACACACGGCAGGCTACAGCCCTCTTCCGAGAGCCGTTCTGAGTCATCTTGGCTCAGGGATTTTCGAACCTGTGGGAAAATTCACCGCGCTCTCGCGTCCTCCGGTCGCTGGCGGTGGAGTTCGGCGCATGTCTGCGGGGCTTCCGGGAAGCAGCGCTTCGCAGGTGAGTGCTTTGCAGCGCAACACACAGCGTGGAAAGCCTTGGGCACCTGGTGGCGCCCAGGTCTGCGGTCCTCCTCATGTCCTCCGTCTCCTCGGCCTTCCGGTTTCCCCTCCAGCCTCCGGGGGCCCAACGCCTTACAGTAGGGGCTTCCGGGGCTCTCCCTTAAGGTCAGAGGGGCGAACGGATCACCCGCCCCCCACTCACATGCCAGTGGCCGCCGCCTGCCCCTCTTGCCACCAGCGTCTTTCCTGTGAAGTTTCGCAGGCACCTCGGGCCATTAGAGACTCTACAGGCCACTTTTTTTTGCCAGAAAAGCCTGAAAAGTCAACAACACCGGGGGGCTTCACGTTCAGCTCCTAAATCTCTGGGAAGTCCGCTTGCTTCACGGTGAGCCTGAGGACCGGATCCAGAGAAAAAGAAAAAGGAAAAAAAAAATTTTATTCACGGTCTGCTTCTCCTCCCCCACGGTGAGTCAAGGCTCCTGGAAGGCTTTCAGGCTTTGCGCCGCTCCATGTTCGTAGCCTTCCTTGAACTAAGTTGGGCGTGGGGCACAGGGGAGAAAAGAAATGTCCTGGTGGGCGGCTGGCTGGACCGGCCATCAATCTCCCGCGGCTGCGCGCAGGTACCGGGCGACATCGCGGTGGCCCCGCTCCTCAGCCAGGTCCACGGGCAGGCGGCCCCAGGCATCGCGCACATCCAGCCGCGCCCCGGCTCGGTGCAGCACCACCAGCGTGTCCAGGAACCCCTCCCGGGCGGCGTCGTGCACAGGTCGGGTGAGGGTGGCGGGATCCGCGCAGTTGGGGTCCGCGCCGTGGAGCAGCAGCAGCTCGGCCACGCGGGCGCTGCCCATCATCATGACCTGTCGGAGAGAGCAGAGTGGTCAGGGCGGCAGCGGGAGCAGCGATACGCAGGCCTGGCCACCAGAGGTAGAACCATTTCAAAGAAATACCTATTCATGAAGTTTCTCACTAACGCAAAGGGGCTAGGAGCCTCGAGACCGTCTGGTTACACTTCATTGGCTGATGCACTCACCGCCCCCACCCCCCCCCCGTCCCTTTTTACACTTTACTCAGCCCTGCTTGAGTTCCATTTCATTCTCCAAACAAGGGGAGACAAGAAAGAGCTGATAATAAAGCACTAATCCTCGTTGTGCAGAAAAAGAAAAAATCTTGATTTTCGTTGGAACATGGGAATCTAGTTTGTTAAATGATTTATGGGCAGAGTTAAGTTTAAAAGCCTTTAAAGTCTTAAATTATTTCCCTTGATGTCTTTCCTACCTCAACCATAATCCACCTCTACAAATATTTATTAGGCAGTCAGCTGATATTTTTAAGAGTTAGAGTCATGCTTTAGAGGAGAAATAGGTTGTTTAGTTCTCATAGTAAATCCCTTATCAGAGTTTTTACTTTTCACTGGCCTGCATGTCTGTTGTCATAAACTGAATATGGTCTGATAATTTGGGTCAAATTGGAGATAGAGGGGAAAAAGAAAATAAGATGATGAAAACAAGTTTTTTTTTAACAAATGATTTACCAGTTTTAATATTTTTAAGTTGGTGTTACAGGTAAGGGATAAAGTTTAAAGGGTAATATATTTAATGTAACATAAGCATGTAAAATAAACACTGTATTTACATTGTACAGGATTTTATAATGTAATAGGATTTTATAATGTTAGATGGTAAATAATTTGCTATATAAAAAAGAGCTTGGATGTTAGTCAAATCAGAGCAATGCATAACTTAGAAAAAAGATGTTTTAGAGCAGTAATCCTGTAGCAGCCATTTGTGTATATGTACATTATGCAAGCATTTACTTTCTTGTAATTAACAATAAAAATTTTTGATAATTAAATATCCAAAACGGAGTTACTTGTTCTTGCCAGTTCATGTATTTTAAAATGCACCATGTAACTGAAAGATAGCATGCTACTTTTTTGTTTCATGAATATTAGAAGCATCCATTTCCTCCCTTAAAAACCATGATATGTTATCATTATCACTATTAATGTAAGGTATTTCATACATAGAAGGAAAAAAGGGTTTTTTGTTATCTCAGAAAATGGTGAATTAAAACTATAATTAAAATCTTTTTACAATTATTAATATTATTTGAAGCCTAAGAACTACTTTACAAGATTTTTGCTGCTTCTTAGAACACTTTTCCAAGAATGCAAAAGGAATGGACACGTATTTCCTTTAAAAATCTATACAGTTAACAAGACTCCTTAATAATAGTTTGGTTCTAGAATGTGACATTGAGATGAATACTAATTGTGACCATTATAGTCAACAATAAAGCACAAGATATTGGATTTTAAAGGAATGAAAAAATACATATGTACTCATTAAAGCGAGATTAATAAACATATTGAACAAAAGAACTTTATCAACGAAGAGGCTAATTATTCATGTAGAACCTCTGCCATTTAAAAAGGACCTAACAGTTGCTATAAGCATGCTTTTGTAATCCAATCATTTTGTATGATAATTAAGCAAAAATCCATAAAAGCATTTTTTTCTTATGTAATATTCAAGAGACACTTCTAACATAAAAGGAATTAAATACTTTGATCGAGGAATCCTGGCTCATCTCTTTGTATTCAGTTTGCCTCTATGAAGAAAAAATACAAAGAATTTTATATCACAACCTAGAAGTTCACGGTGAATTTTTTCATGTAATGTGATTCTGCATGATTCCTCAAATTTAATCCGGACTGTGTAACTTGTAATTTAATTATCATTCAAAGTTGATAGATATTTGTTTAAAGACAGACAAGACAAAAGTTTTTCTCCCCAAATAACCTTTTCTTCCCAATTGAATCTATCCGTTGTATCTGTGATCATGAGACGGAAGAGAGACTATTGACATTTTTTCCACCACTAAAAAGAAAACCAAACTGAAGTAATTTTTTTTTCCAATCCCGTTCTTTAGGATCTTTGGGGCGGGAGAACCTGTTTTACACCTAGGCTCCACACCTCCAGGAAGAGAGAAAAAGGGACGTCGGTGAAGATCTCGGTCCCAGTCGCGTCCCACGGAGGCCGCTCCCCTGCACTCCTGCGCCCCCTGCCGGCAAGGCCCCAGGGCCCCAGCTACCTGGATTGGGCGCCTTCCGAAGCGGTTGACTCCGTTGGGATCCGCACCGGCTTCCAAGAGCTGCTGCACAGTGTCCACTTGCCCCCGCGCGGAGGCGTTGGCCAGGCCCGCGCCGTTGCCTCCACCACGGAGCATGCCCTTGTCCTCCTCGCGCATTTCGCAGTCCACAGACGCAGACTGGCCCGGATAATCCACCACTGGCTGTGAGCTTCGCCACACTCCTCCCTTCTTCCCCACCTCGCCCTGGCGCGCTCACCCCTACGTGGGAGAGCTCAGGTTAGCTTCAGCTCTCTTTCACCGTCCTCCTGTGGCTTAGGCGGCCCGTGCAATGGCCGAGCCACTCGTGGCTAAACCGGGCTTTTCCCAGCTCGCTCCCGGGAAAAAGCGCCTCGCTTGGTCGCAGTGGTCCGGCTAGGTAGAGAGCCTGCAAGGGAATGAGTCCGTTTCCAGCTGGGCGGCCGGACAGGGTATTCCCCACCCCCTTAGGCTCCGCCCCCTGTCCGTCTGGCCGGGCCGGGCAAGTCCCCACTTTGCAGGCTGCGAGGCCCGGCCCTCGGATGACGTTACAGCCGACGAGGTAGGGGCGGGGCGCGGGAGGAGGGCGGTGTTGGGAAGCCAGCCCAGACTCTGCTGGGACGCATGCGCCAGACAGGAAGCGCGCAGAGCCTGTTGTCCTGCTCGCCGAGTGTCCTGCAAGGCCTTAACTAAGGTTTGGAAAAGTTGAATCCATGCACTCAGCTCCTAATCCCCTTCCTCCAGCAGGCGGAGCAGAGGATTTCTATTCCTCAGTCCCGTGCCAGCTGCTTTCACTTTGGGGACGTTAGTCGCTCCTTGTATAATTGAATGGCTGGCTGAGAGAAAGGCATTTAAAATAACTCTGTCTCTCCCAAGATTTCTGAAAGTGACAGCTTTGCACCTGTCATGCAGGTTAAATTCACCCCCAGGCAGTACTTGAACTTCACTAGCTTTTCATCTTGCATCAACCTTAGCAATTTTCTTTTGGGTGTGTCTTCCTATTTGAATCAGTCAAAAATCAGTTACAGTGAAAAATCCTGAGAATCCTGTTTTGAATGTGACTTTTATTCTTTTCATCTTTGAATAATTGATACACAGCTCCAAAAAACAAACCTAGTTTGAGATTGACAATGGCAAACTGGTGCACGTGAGACATTTAAAAAATATAAATATATATTTTAAGAATCTGAAATTCCAGTTTCATGATATTTGAACAGTATTATTTTTGTTTGCACGCTTACCTATTTAAACCCACTTCGCAAGTATTTGATTTTTATTTATCCTGCGTAATAAAGGAAATTTATGCAGTAATAATGAAACATAATAAAACAGGGGTGTGGTGCTGGGCCTGTCATTAAACAGGCTGAACCTGTCATTAAATCCTCTTCTGAAGATTTAAAGGCCAGTTGCTTTTCTTTTCTTCCCAATCTTCCTAGGTGAGTTTGAATTAACATATGCATTGCTCTGAAGATTTAAGAAATGACAGCTGATGTTTGATTGAAATAGGAAGAGAACCACAAGTTATGTATCTGTTGTCTGAAAGTTTTGGTGAGGAACCACATTACACTGAGCTTCTCTTAACATGGAACAGTTCTCATTTACAAGATCATTTATTGGTTCATAGTGCAGAGGAAGGCAGTTTTTAAGGGAAGGCAATTGCTTGCTTACTCACAAATGAGTTTGTTTCACATGTTTCTTCTAGCATTCCTTAGCTTGGACTCCCTTCCCCCCAGTCCGTTGTAGACTAAAGAAGAGCTCTTTAAAGTTAGGGGAGCCCATGGAAGTGGTGGTTAGGGATGGAGATCTACTGATTGAGACAGAGTCGAAATCCACCTGGATAGGGAAGAGAAGGAAGGCAGTATTAATAACCATTTTTTTCTCTCTCTTATCCAACCTCCATCTCTTAGTTTTCTTTCTTAATTTTCCTATCTTTTCCTCTTATTTGAACCTCCACACTTACCTGAAAAAGAAAATTCCTTTTATTTGTTGATGGTGGCTCCATTCCTTGGCCCAGCCAGAGGAATAGAAGTCTATTTCTGGATGAAAAGAATAGATGAGCTTTTTTTTTCTCCAGTCTTTGGGGCCAGTCCCCACCCACAGTGTACTGGGGATTGCAGATATGTAGGTAGAATGGGAGAGGGAAGAGGAAATATGGACAGTTGGAAGTCAGAGTTTTTTGGTAGTCACTCTGAGGGGCTGAGTCATCAGACTCACATAGGTGGATGCAGTAGCAAATGTCTTTATCAGAATATCTTCATCATAGTATCTTCATCAGAATAGCCTGGCTACCCTGAAATTTAGTGCACAGCGAAAGGTAACAAGGCAGGTTACTTTTAAAGGAGTGTTGTTCAGATATTTCTTCTAATGGGTCCAGTAATTAAATTAGTTCAACGAAATTTAGCTCCAGCATATCCTATATTCTAGGAGTCCACAACTGAGTAAGATATGGGTGCTAGATTTTAAGAAAGTCTCCCTGGTGTCACTCAAAACGAATAGAGAGTTTCAATTTAATGTGATAACTTTACTGTGGATGTACCTATAGGATATTTTGGGAGTAAGAAGGGGGGAACTTGACTCAAGATGGAGATGCAGGGGATTTCCTAGAGGTGTTGCCAGATGAAGAGCCTTTAGAGAATGCATCATTAATTGTTTCTTGTGTTCTAGCTTTGAGCTTTGGGTTTCTCTGAAACTCAACAAAAAGGGTAGAAAAAGATAGCATGAACCAATTTTTGAGCCACCTTCTTAAGTGGTAAGCATGGCCAAAGTGTCTGAAAAATAAAAGCTATTTGGAGTTGATAAAGAGATTGGAGAGAATTGTTTTTATTTGTAGGGGACATAGATAAAGAGTGGCAAGATAGGGAAAAAGCCAGTTAGCGGAATGAGTAAGAATCTTCAGCGAGGCAGCTAATGTGAGAGATTCACCACGTAAGTTGACAGGAAAAGAATTTGGGCGGGGGAAATGTTGCCAGCGTTACATACGATTGCTAGCACCACGGACAGCGCTTTCCTAGTAAGCGTGTGTGGGTGGTCCTAACCCACTCCAGACTGAGAATTGCTGAGAAAGCTTCACACATGATCTTTCAAACCCTTTTTCTCTCCTGAAATTCAAAGAAAGCCACATGGAAACTCAATGAGCTTCTTTACGAAACATCTTTACAATGAACTGCTCGATCTGGTTTCCAAATACTACTGGATTATCTAATATTCTCTATGTAAAGAACATTAAATATCCTCTATATTTAAAAGAAGAGAGATCACACCTCAATGTCTACCCTGTTCCAAGTGCTTTACAAGCATTATTTCATTTAACTCTTGTAACACCCCTATGCAAAATGCATTAGTTTCTCAATTTTACAGACAAGACCAAAGATTCAGAGAAAGTAACTTGCATACTAGCTAAGCATTTTTGGAGGTAGGGTCTGACCTGTGTGGCTTCAGTGCCTCTATCCATAACACTACATAGTGTTTTTAGCAGCTGTCATGGTAGGCTTAACTGGGGAAAAAATGCAATTAACTGGATTATAATTATTTTCCAGTCTACATTGTGTTTTCCAAATGGCTCACCTCACAGCACACCCTTAATAGACTTCAAAGATGACATTTCACACGTAATACAATAGCACATTTGTCTTGGACAACAGGGTGAGATAATGAAACATTTTACCTCTCCCTGAAACCTAGCTGTCTCTAGGATGAAACACAACCTATTGTTAATGCTTTAAACACATTTAAGAGATGAAGTGGATGGGAACATAGTGGGCAGCTGAAACTTAGAATTGTCACAGCTATGCCATTTAATAGGGTGGATAGTTTATAAGTGAGAAAAGAGAGGAAGTAAATGGTAAACTGACATAGAATTTCGGAGGTAAATAGAAGGGAATGAATAAATAGAATCAGTTTCAAAATAATAAATAATGCAAATGTCTAGTGACAATGTTTATATTCTAGTTGGTGAAACTGTATATGAACTCACTATGAAGGTGTGAATAGAATCGGTTGAATGACCAAGAGAGATAATGACATAACTTTGCATATGGTTGGATCCATGGTTTCTAAGTGGAGAGAGAGGGAATTAAAAATCATTTTGGGGACTTTTTCAAACTATATATGACCCACCTCCCATCAGGAGGCTTGATTCTCTCCATTTCATCAGTTGAGATGTATGTTTCAGGATTCATAGGGTATCTCTTTCTATATTCCCATATCTATTTCTTAACTTTTATTGAACAGTGGATATTTTAGCATCTGTATGAATTTTCCAAGGCTGCCATAGAAAAGTACCACAGACTAGTTGGCTTAAACAATAGAAATTTATTTTGGTTTTGGCTTCTCACAGTTTTGGTTTCTCCTGAGGCCTGTCTCCTTGCCTTGCAGGTGGTCACATTCCTGCTGCCTTTTCACATAGGCATCCTGTGTGCATGTAAGCTCCTGGTAATCTCTTGTGTATCCAAATTCCCTCTTCTTATAAAGACACCAGTCAGATTGGATTAGAACCTACCCCAAAAGTCTCATTTTAACCTAATCACTTCTTTAAATGCCCTATCTTCTAGTATAGTCACAGTCTGAGATAGTGGGGGTTAAAGATTTAATATGTGAATTTTGGAGAGACACAATTCAGTCCATAATGGGATCTTTCCCAGTTTTTACACATATCATTTTTGTTAATAATTTATTTACTTGAATAAGGATGAAAATAATATCAACACATTGAAATTTGTTGACATTGATACCAGTCTCTTTTATCTCTATTTTTTATTTATTTCTTAATTATTTTATTTTTAAAAATGTTTATTTATTTATTTTGAGAGGGGGGTGGGAAGGGCAGAGAGAGAGAGAGAGAGAGAGAGAGAGAGAGAGAGAGAATCCCAAGCAGGCTCTGTGCTGTCAGTGCAGACCCTGATGCAGGGCTTGATCTCATGATCTCTTGAATAGTGACATCATGACCTGAGGTGAAATTAAAGGTTGGATGCTTAACTGACTGAGCCACCCAGGAACCCAAAGATTTTATTTTTAAATAATCTCTACACCCAACATGGGGTCAAACTCACAACCCAGAGATCAAAAGTCTCATGCTCTAACTTACTGACTGAGCCAGTCGGGCACCCCAACTTGTGTCTCTTTTAATCTGTAGATTCTCTTCTTTATTCCTTTTATTCTTTTCAATTTATTTGTTGCAGGAATTGGATTGCTAGTTCTGTAGTTTTCTGTAGTCTGAACTTTGCAGAATGCTTCTTCATGGTGGCATTTAACATTTTTCTCTGTCACCTGTATTTTTTGTAATTTATTATTTAGCTCTAGAGTCTGGATGTGATTCAGGTTTGATATTTTGGCAAAAATACTTTATAAGTATTATAAACTTCTACCAAAAGGCATATAATCTGCTTCTTTGTCTATGATTATAGCAGCCATTGATAATTATTTCTATAATATATTATTTCCTTAGGGCTTGCAAAATGGTGGCATTCTAATTCAACCATCCCTTCTTCATTTACTAGCTGAAAAATTTCTGTAAAGAGAAAGCTTTCTTTGTTATCTACCTGTTTGCCCTCAGGTACATATACAAAAGACAGGCTGAGTACTTTATTTTCAAATTTACTTATAAGTTTTAAAAATAATGATTTGAGCTTCAGCATCTTCCAAAGGTGACTGATGATTTTTGAATTATTGTAAACTTGTGGATTTGAACTTAATTGATGTATTTTAATGCACTATAACTATCATTCCCGTTGTGTTGATTATTCCATTCATCTGCTAGCCACTCAGCAAATATTTTTTGAACACCTGTTATGTGCCAGGCATTCTTCTAGACCCTTAAGATACATCAGTGACAAAACAGTAAAAGACACCTGTCTTCATGGCTCTTACATTGTAGCATGGGTGGCCATTTCTGTTGTAAAGTTAATCACATTATAGACATATCACCTAAAAGAGTGCTTCATATTTTTATACTACATCATCAAACATACAAGGTCTGGCTTATAAGAAATCAATACCCATATTACATTGAGACTTCTAAAATAATTTTTGTTATGTGAATGAATCAATGATAAAACCATTTCCTTAACAATCATAAACTGATTGCAAAGTGATTGTTCATCTCAGAGAAACCTTTGCAGAGTTAAAATAAAAGTTTCAAGAACTAGGCTTTGGTACTAAAATAAGGCACATTACATTTAGATTTTTAATTTTGCCATTCCCATACTAAATGCATACTCATAATTCAATGCTGAAAAGCTAGATATGGTTGTAAACCAAGGCATAGTTGAAATGAAAGTTTAGAAAAATCATCATAAGCCAAAATTTAGTATCATTATGATGGCGGCTTTAGGATTTTAGTGTTGACACCCTAGTCTCAAGTTGTATTTAATGTGGTTACAAGCCTAGGCAGTGTTGAAATGAAAGTTTCAAAACAAATTAAAGAGTTAGGAAAAACATAATCAATATAAATGCATTGTAATGTTAATATTCCATGATTCAAATGAGCAAAAAGTTGCTTTTTGTTACAACATGGATAGTAGATAGTCTGAGTATAGAAAGTAATATTTCCTATATGGGACCATTTCACTCTCTGCAATTCTATTGAGTCATACTTACTGCTTAGTGAGCTATAAGCCTAGCTATCAGTTTTCTCAAAATAGATTTTTTAAGTCTATTTTTCTAGATCTAAAGATGTAAAGCTCAAAGCTCTTCTTGAAAGAGAATTAAACATTTCAGTTACCTTCATCACCTGGAATACATGGTTTCAGCCAAAACTTACATGTCACTTGGAAAAAAGCAAAAGTGAGGTATTGTCTTCTTTTGAGGAGAGACTGTGCAGTTAAACAGCTCACTGG